TTTATACATCTTTTTTTAAGAGCACCATTTTAAATATGGAACATGGAGTTATTCCAGCTGCAATATCAAGAGACTGATTTCAAGGTTATAGCATTTAATCTGAATATGTATGTCGTCAGTAGCAGAAGGTAAAATAGAGAAGTAGGCAGAAAGATAAAGTAACTCTTTGCCCTTCTTAAAGGGCAAAAACTGAATATTTGTATGCCAGATTTTGAGCCAGTGTTTATTTAAGCTGCTTAGGTTTGGCAAATTCAGTAGGTAGGACGAGGAGATCCCGAGAGTCTCTGCAGATAGAGCAGTAAAACTTAACATCAGCAGGTGTTTTTCATAAACATTAATGCGTACATACAGCTGTGGTCAAAAACATACTTATAGTAATGACGTTGCATCCTCTCTGGTCTAAGAGGATGATCTGTAAAACAGCCATAATCACCTACAGTATACTGTAATGGTGAAAAATACCTACATTATCTTCCCCCCATTGTTATGTCTTTGCATGGTAGTACAACTGCATGAGTACAGAGCAGAGAACAGACATTATTAGGACCACTGACTAAATAAGAAAAATGATCCAAATCAGTGTTGACCCAAAAACTGATGTTTTATTTGCCTTTGAAACAAATTATTGGCTGAGTTAATGCATTATTTAAAAATGAGAATACTCAAGAATTGCAACATAAATTACCACCCTCCAAAAACAGACATGTAGAGTTAAAAGATTAAAAAATAACAAGTAGCATCTACATGTTCATTTATGTAATAAACAAAGGAAACAATTACTTAAAATCCCTTTCTGGGTTTGAATTATGGAAGCTATATTAAGTAACTATTAAATAATGGTTAAAATATTATAAGACCTAAATTCTCTTTGGAGATGTGAGGATCTGCTTCATGTAGCTCTGATACTGATGACATGAATAGACAGGTCGCCAAAGAAGCAGCAGTGTTGCATAATTTCTAGGCAACTTTGTACATATGTCCAAAACAGAAAACAAACCATCAGTTGGCATTAAGTTAGAAATTGAGTTGTTTCTTGTTGTCAAACAGCTTTGAGTTACTGCACCTCTTTACTGTGGTTAAGTGCACCACAGATCCCAATGCAGACAGTAAACATACGAATGATCAAATGACTCATAAGCTTGTAAAGTAGACAAGCCCCTAGGGTGCAATGCAGTACTGCAGGACATAATCCTTTGTTCTGAGATCAGTCAGACACACAAACAAACGATTAACAGGGCCAATATGTGGGACACTGCACCATGAGCTAAATGTACCAAAGTGTAACATCAGTGTAGACGAGGCCAGGGCCAAGAAAGTAATACCTTTACAGCCACTGCTATTCCCACGCACTACCAGTAATCAAACAGAGAAAAATATTTGATGTTGCCCATCACTTACAGCCACATGACTGGTGTCAGTTTCCAACTCAACATCACGACCTGTGAAGACACACCTGTACTTACAACTGAATGTTTCAGAACAGCTCCAAAGTGGCCAAATGTTGATGGACTTCAGTCTTTCTCTAGCATTACAAGCCACACAGTGCACATATGGATCTGGGCTGAGTTCTAATAACTACCTAGTTCTACATTTGGTGATGCCACAGGTAAGAACTCAGTAACACAACTTCCTCTTTGTGACTATGCCAACACAACACATACCAGTAAAAAGATAACAAATGTAAATACTGTTGAAGCCTGATTGTTATAAATATGAAAACTAGATAAACAGCATTAAAAACACAATTGAACCTAAAACCTAGACTCCCTGCACACCATGAACGATGTACTGTATAATTACAAGCAAAGGATTATCGTGAACATTTAGTTAGCAATAAAAAAAAAGAATAATCAGTCATCATCAGCATGGCATAAGTGACTCTCATTGCCACCTGGGTAGTATAGCTATAGTAACTGCACACCTCTAAATTAAACACATACAAATAAAAAGTTATGCACAACAATAATATCGAGCTCCTGGCTCAACACCCTAACAGTTTTGTAATGTCAAAGCCAGTGTGCTTCAGCATATTACCATCATCACTGAATTATGTTGGTGTTAACAATAAAATCTTTCTCAATACAGTATAATCTCTCAACATAACCGCTGCCAAGAGCTTTCAGCTTCAGGTTTCCCTTCCTGTTGACAACCCACAATGTGTCCAAGTGGCAATTAACTGGCTCCTCATAACCCAAATTAAGTGGAGCAAAGAAAAACTATATTCAAAAGTGTACCACATTATGACTAAGAAATCTGGGAACCGAAACAACATCTTTATCAACTACCCCCACCCAATCAACTTAGAAGAGCTTGTGAACATCTAGTGGCATGTTTGGACAAAAATAATGCAGACAGCTGCCATTGTTGTGTTTGCATAATGTATCCACCATTAAAGCCATTGTTGGTGGTTACAGTTTATGTTAGACCGGCAGAAGCACCGACACTACAAGTCCACTGTTAAGAAACTATCTGACCATGACTTGAATGATAAAATCTTGGAGGCCATTTCTGTATCCCCGATTGTTGCGAGCATGGACACTGCACACACAACACCGGATATCATTTTAAAACATACAACAAAACACATGGCTAATAATTATGTACTTCAATAGATTATTATTAAGGACATTTTAGCACATTGCATCAACTACCAGATAACGCTTGTGGAACTATTCCTCTAAAAGTCATTCTGATGGAGATGTCTATCGAATATAGAAATATAAAGCCCTACTTATTAAGTGCTGATAGTACAATAACCTCCATGAGGACACTGTTAAACCCTACTTCAGTAGGAATATTAAATTGTTTATTTTTTTTAGTCATTTAAAAGTGACTTTACATTAACAGTAAGAACAAAAAAAATCTCTAAAAACTGTTAACAGTGCTTGCATGCATAACTATGCATGTTGGTAGAAGTCTCATCATGTACTGTGAAGATCTCAATGTCCACTGTCTTTTATAGCACAGTCTCTGGCTTTACTAATACCATGCCACCATCTGTTCTTGGATGAGCTGTAAAAACACACGTAGAAAGAAAAGATAAACCTTGACAGACAGCTTGTGTTAAAATTAAAGTTTCATCTCAGACAGCATACTGGCATCTGGATTGTGAAATTATATCAGTGAAAATCTAAGCATATCATTTTTTCCTTCCCTTATCCTTTCCTTTCTTTCTTTGTTCCTAATATGGACTTGCTCAATAATTGCTGTACATAGGTTTTGCCTGTGTACAGATTGGTGACAAATTAAAGGAAACCCCTGATTAAATGGTCTCTTCCAGGTTGACAACTCCCTTGTCCATAGGCCATGAGGGGCCTATGGTTTGATGAGTATGATAATTATGTGAATCTATGAATGTGAATGCTATGACCTTCACATTCACCAGATTTCAACCCAGCTGAACACTTATGGAATATTTCAGATTGACATCCAAGCGCCACGTAAGAGAATATCTTTTGGTAGTACGGTGCTCATCCCTCCACAGGGAGAATCAATGCCAAGATGCACTGAAGCTGTTGTGGTGGCACATGGAGACACTAAGTTGGCTTTTCCGCTCATTTGTCACCTGCCTGTAGGTACAGTGCCTTGCAAAAGTATTCATACCCCTTGAATTTTTCCACATTTTGTCACATTACAACCACAAACTTAAATGTATTTTATTGGGATTTTATGTGATAGACCAACACAAAGTATCGCATAATTGTGAAGTGGAAGGAAAATGATAAGTGGTGTTCAAGATTTTTTATAAATAAAAATCTGAAAAGTGTGGCGTGCATATGGATTCATCCCCCCTAGAGTCAATACTTTGTCGAAGCACCTTTCGCTGCAATTACAGCTGCAAGTCTTTTGGGGTATGTCTCTACCAGCTTTGCACATCTAGAGACTGCAATTTTTGCCCATTCTTCTTTGCAAAGTAGCTCCAGTTCAGTCAGATTGGACAGAGAGCATCTGTGAACAGCAATTTTCAAGTCTTGCCAGATTCTCAATAGGATTTAGGTCTGGACTTTGACTGGGCCATTCTAACACATGAATACACTTTGATCTAAACCATTCCACTGTAGCTCTAGCTGTATGTTTAGGGTCGTTGTCCTGCTGGAAGGGGAAACTCCGCCCCAGTCCTAAGTCTTTTGCAGCTTCTAACAGGTTTTCTTCCAGGACTGCCCTGTATTTAGCTCCATCCATCTTTCCATCAACTCTGACTAGCTTCCCTGTCCCTGCTGAAGAAAAGCATCCCCACAGCATGATGCTGCCACCACCATGTTTCACGGTGGGGATGATGTGTTCAGGTTGATGTGCAGTGTTATCTTATTGCTTTCTTTCAACAATGGCTTTCTTCTTGCCACTCTTTCATAAAAGCCAGATTTGTGGTGTGCATGACTAATAGTTGTCCTGTGGACAGATTGTCCCACCTGAGCTGTGGATCTCTGCAGCTCCTCCAGAGTTACCATGGGCCTCTTGGTTGCTTCTCTGATTAATGCTCTCCTTGTCCGGCCCATCAGTTTAGGTGGACGGCCATGTCTTGGTAGGTTTGCAGTTGTGCCATACACTTTCCATTTTCAGATGATGGATTGAACAGTGCTCCGTGAGATGCTCAAAGCTTGGGATATGTTTTTATAACCTAATCCTGCTTTAAACTTCTCCACAACTTTATCCCTGATCTGTCTGGTGTGTTCCTTAGTCTTCATGATGCTGTTTGTTCACTAATGTTCTCTAACAAACCTCTGAGGCCTTCACAGAACAGCTGTATTTATACTGAGGTTGAATTACACACAGGTGGACTCTATTTACTAATTAGGTGACTTCTGAGGGCAGTTGGTTGCACTGGATTTATTTAGGGATATGAGAGTAAAGGGGGCTGAATACATAGGCACGCCACACTTTTCAGATTTTTATTTATAAAAAATCTTGGAACACCATGTATCATTTTCCTTCCACTTCACAATTATGCGATACTTTGTGTTGGTCGATCACATAAAATCCCAATAAAATACATTTAAGTATGTGGTTGTACTGTGACAAAATGTGGAAAAATTCAAGGGGTATGAATACTTCTGCAAGGCACTGTATGTGCATGACATGTATTTAGCACTTTACACTTTCATCATGGCAGCAAAATGAATAAATGACTGAACCTGCTACACTCTGTAGTCATATGTGGACCACCGATGAGTTGTTGAAACTAAGCAGAACAACTGTTAGAACATTTAACAGTTTGTTAAACAAGTGAGTTTAGTCCAACCATTGTACTATTTTCATTGTTACTTGTGTTACTGCCACATTCAAGACTGTTCCCACATCTGTGTCAGTGTCTGCACACCTCCGTGTGCTGTGCCATTCTTCAGTGCCTTTGCATAAGCTTGGTCAACACCCAGCATGAAGACAGACAGACTCCATTTGAATGTGCTAATGTTTCCACCCACACAAGCACAGTCTTAGAAGATGCAAGGTGGAAAAATAAGTACCAATGGGGCATAGAAAAAAAAAGCTACGAAAAAAGCCTACAAGTTTTGCTGGCAAGCATAGTGCACTGTGAATCAGCCCTGGCACACAAAAGACACCATCACCATTCGCTACCTCTGTTTGGTCTCATACTATACTCTCACTGGCAGACTTCTTCATCAGTTTGGTAGAGAGCAAGGAATGCTGGGAAGAGATGGACTCTTTGGCTTCAGGAATGAGCAGACGTACGTTCTGATTTGTTCGCCTCCACTCAGAGTAGAGCTGACAGTGGTAGCGGAACGATACCTGCACAGACAGCCAGGAGGGAGAAGAGGAAAATACAAGGTCATTCAGAGCTGGGTAATAAGATGAACACACAGAAAGGCCACTAATGTGCCCTGAAAGTAATGCTTGCAACTCATTAGCAGGCACTTTTTAACTCAAGACACCATTCGCTTTATAATGGCTACATTACAACAAAACAATAGTCTGATAACTGGAGGTGACTGTGGTTCAGTGGGCATCTCCCAACTGGAAGGTTTGCAGTTTGAATCATGGTGCCTGCAGTCCACATGTCAAAGTGTCCTTGGGCAAGACACGAAAACCCAAGTTGCCCTCAATGGTTAGAGCCATCAGTGTGAATTGGCACCGCAGATGGCTGCCTTGGTTCTGTACTGGAAACAAATTCCTGTGTGTGTGTGTGTGTGTGTGTGTGTGTGTGTGTGTGTGTGTGTGTGTGTGTAACATACTTGGCCAAATAAAGTGATTATCTTTATAAAATTCATTTATGGAATGCATTTTTACCAGGGTCCACAGGACATAGATGGTGAAGAGGGCGATGGTGAGGGCTATGAGGCCAACAGCCTGCAGCCAGCTGCCCAGCTGCAGATGATCCTGAGCTCCCCTCAGGCACAGCCAGCCTGAAATGGCTGCTAGGGGCGTGATAAAGAGGAAGCAAATCATGTCACAGAACAGCGTTCTCTTCTCATTACGAGGGCCAGGGTCCCGCAACCACTGTGGAGTAAGAAGTGGAAGAAAGAATAGAGAAGATGGTGAATACATATAGAAGCAAAAAAGACGTGAGGGGTAGAAGGAAACCTTCAGTCCATCAAGAACAGAAAAGAAATTGTGATAAAAGCAGAAAGAGGACATGTAAAAAAGCTGCTTCACACACCAACATATGTGCAATAATTGAGAAACAACAAACAAAAGAAAAAAGATGAGAACAAAGAGTGACACAGACAAGACAAGGAGCATAGACCTTTGTTACCTCTGTGAGAGGCCTTGGCCGGTGCTCGACACTGAACTCTGTGTGGCACAGCTCGCAGTAGCTGGTGTTGGAGGATGACAGCCACTTCTCTAAGCAGCTCCTGTGCACTGTGCCCAGGGTGCCTGTGCAGTCACAAGGGGACAGGAGACCCTCACTGCTGCCTCCTTCATGGCAAATACGGCAGATGGGACCATCACTGAGGCAAAATTTAAAAAAAGAAGAAAAAAAAAGAACAGAAGAAAGAGATTCATGTACTTAGCCAAAACTGATTATAACTTATAGCCTCTTCTGTAAGTGGACAAGGCAGCAACATGTTTACACATATCAACACAGGTATGATACAATACAAGAGACCAAGATCATGTGATCACAAGCTCCAAACTGTAATTACATTACTGTTTACAGTAACAGCAGAAATAAACAAACAAACTAAAAAATCATAAATATCCCAAGTCCCCAAATTGTTATTAGCCTTAGACTGCCAAGCAAAGGCTCACAGCCCTAGCCACCCAGTTGAAGAGGTACACCAGAGAAGTTGAAGCCAGGAGAGTAAGTCGAATGTTCTCCACTGAGCCATCTAAGGTGTACTCTCAGTGCCAGGGTAATAACATGAGAGCAGACCCACCAAGGCTGGAGACTGAACAATTCTGGAAGAGCATATGGAAGAAGGAGGCATCACATAACAACAATGCCCAGTGGCTGGTGGACCTGAGAGCAGACCACAGCAACATCCCTAAACAAGACCCAGTAACCATCACAATGGCAGACATTCAAGAGAGGGTCTCAAGTATGAAGAGCTGGACAGCACCAGGCCCTGACATGGTCCACGCCTACTGGTTAAAGAAGCTAACTTTGCTCCATGAGCACCTGGCAGGAGAAACGAACCAGCTACTAATGGATGGAACCCACACTGAGTGGTTAACTGAAGACCGGATAGTCCTGATCCTTAAGTACCCTCGGAAGGGAGCAATACCATCCAACTACCGCCCAATAACCTGCCTCTGCACAACATGGAAGCTCCTGTCAGGCATCATAGCAGCTAAGATGAGCAGGCTCATGGCTCAAAACATGAGCAGTGCCAAGAAAGGAATTGGTAGTAACACCAGAGGAGCAAAGCACCAGCTACTGGTTGATAAAGTAGTCACTC